TATTTTAGTTTATTTTTAAAAATATTTTATTTATTATTATTATTTTTAGGTATGAGTCTGCATGTGTGTAAGTGCACCTGTGTTGTGCAGTGCCTGTGGAGGTCAGAACAGGGCATTGGGTCTCTTGGAACTGGAGTTACAGATGATTGTTAGCTACCATGAGGGTACCAGAAATTGAACTCAGGTCCTCTACAAGAATCAGCCAGTGTTCTTAACCACTGAGCCATCTCTCCAGTCCATAGGATCATTTATTTTTTAAATATTTTTATTTATGCTTTTTATTTTATGAGTGTTTTGCCTGCACGTATGTAAGTGTGCCACGTGTGTGCAGTGCCTGCAGAGGACAGAAGAGGGTGTCGGATCCCCTGGAACTGGAATTACAGACAGTTGTTAGCTGCCATGTAGGCACTGGGAATCGAACCCCAGGGCTCTGGAAGAACAGCAAGTGTTCTTAACCACTGGGCCGTCTCTCCAGCCCCAGCTAGAATCATTAGGAAGCACCCATACATGCCAGCCACACTTCTCGCTCCAGGAGACACAAAAGTAGACTCAACTGAAAGAGGCTCTCCCCTGGTGGGGGATAAGCCAGAAACAGGTAGATGTGCCCAGCAGCTCTGATAAGACCAGAGGAAAATCAAGTCAGCAGAGAACTTGCAGGAGTGAGGCTGCTCCCTGTGAAGGCAGCAGGAAGGGAGCCACCCTGAGGAGCTGCACATCAGCATCAGCAGATTAGGGAGGCGCTGACAAGAGGGGACAGAGCAGGGGCGCCAACCACCAGCTGTTTGAGGAATAGCTGGGAAGTCAGCTGGGAGCAGGTGGGAGGATGGGAGGTGCTGAGGTGGATAGGGAGCAGGTTGGGGATTGCCACAAGCCTGGCCTGCATCTTTACTAGAGTCTTACCAGGCCCAGAGGGAGTGGGAGTGACAGCCCAGGGAGTGGGGACAGTTGCCACTGGTTTGTAAGACTTGTGACTCCACTTGCTCAGTGCCTTCAGTACAGGGAAGGATGGAATACTGGCTGAATTAGCCGAGTACTTACCATGCTCATAAGTGGCCATGGAACTCTCAGAAAGTACATAAAACAGATCAAAGGAGCACTGATACCCACTGAACCAAGCCAGTGTCTCAAAAGCTCATAAGGGGCTAGGGACATGGCTTAGTGACAGAGCTTGCCTAGCATGCAGGAGGTCCTGAGTTCAATCCCCAGCACCAAGAAGAATTGAGGGAGGGAGGGAGGGAGGGAGGGAAGGAGGGAGGGAGGGAGGGAGGAAGGGAGGTGGGCGAAAGGAGGAGGAAAGGAGGGAAGGGGAGGAAAGGGGAGGGGAGGAGAGGAAAGGAAAGCAGAGGGCTGGGGAGATAACTCAGTCATTAAAGTGCTTGCCTTGCATTCATGAGGACCTGAGTTCAATCCCCAGAACCTACATTAAAAAAAGCCAAGCCGGTGGCACATGCCTGTAATACTAGCACTGGAGAAGCAGAGACAGGTGGAACCCTTGGGCTGGCTACCCACCCAGCTTAGTCTATGTGGCAAGTTCCAGGTTTATCAGGGAACCCTGCCTCAAACAAACAAAAATCCAGTGAGGTAAAGCAAGCCACGTTCCTGAGTAATGAAAGCTGACATTGCTCCCTGGATTCCACACACGTGTATGCACATGCACCTATACTCACATAAACATGCACATACACATATACACACAAAACAAGGGAAAAGGAAAGTGCAAGCTAGCCTGTGAGGTCAGGCTTGGTAGGGGCAGCTCTGGGGAGCCCAGGGCTCTACAGAGGGCACCTAATCAGGCAGTCAAGATAGGCTTGGCCCTGCTGAGCTGCCCACAGACCCCAGGTCAAGCCTCTGTTCTGCCAGTTACCAACCTTTAGCACTACTAGACCCCTCTGCCTAACTTCATCATTCATAAAATGGAGATAACCAAGTTCCACTCTCCTGCCTCCTCTTAAATGAGCCGACATCATTTCCCCAGAGTTGTTTGTCATTTTGCCAATAAGGTTTTTATTATTTATGGATTATTGGCTTCTTGTTATTTTGTCGATAGCCTTTTACAAACTCAGAACCTGCAGAAGTCCATTTTGGACCCACAAACCTTATAGTTTGTTTCTCCTGTACCTGTGCCCTCCAAGCTCCCTTGACCTGACCCACAGATCACCAGCAGCCACCCTGGAGTCTAGAAAGTACCCTCAGAGAGGTGCTTAGAAGGAGCGTACCTCCCTTGGGATTCTCCAGCCCCCCCAGATGCTCACGCTGCTGAATCTCCCGCCTCATTGATCTCATTATACGAAGCCATCCTTTAACTCATTATTCCAACGATTGTTTATTCACGACACCTCACAATATTTTCATTATTACATTTGTCTTCTGTTTCACGTTATTAATAACATGCAGTAATTATAATCACCTCTAATTACCTCCAACCCCTTGGCAGAGGCCCCCAACTGGAGCTGTCTCAGGATTGCCCACCCAGGGGGTGCTCCTACCTACTACCTGCACTGTAGGTATCACTTGGATGACTCAGCCCACCCCTCACCATCAGGAACACTCCCAGCTAAGGAGGAAAAAAACAACTCTGAGCTCTAATTCATGGTATGGCAGGGTGATATGGCTCCTGACCTCAGGCCCCCTTGTCATTGATGTGGAAGAGACAGCTTTGACCCTGGGAGAAGACCCCAGTCTTCAGCAAGAGACATGGTCCTGTCCTTGGGAGCCCCAGTATGATAGAGAAGACCAAACCTTCCACCTCAAGAGCCCCAGACTGATGGATAAGATACAGTCCCTGCCCTTACCAAGACCTCATCTGACGGGAGTGACAGAAGTCACAGATGTCTGACTCAGCGGCAGCACTTCCCCGGCGTGTGTCTGTTTGTTTTTCTGGAACATTGGTTTGTTTCCATTTATGCCTGTGTTTGGCTTCCCAGGGCATCTGCTTATCTCCCCTGTCACTTTGGAAACTCTCCCAGAAGCAAGTGCCAGGTCCCTCCAATACTCCTGTCCCTCTCCTGATACCCAGAACTAGGTCCTTGATAGGGAGTCAGGACCAGGTCACTGGCTAGGGACTGGCCACCTCTTAAACAGTTCTGTATCCATCCTCACAAAGGTACTGGGGCATGGGGGAAAGATGGAAGGGTCTTGCTGGGGCAGAGATGGGATGGAGAGTTGGTATACAGGAAACCAGAGCTAGGGAGGCAATCTAAAACTCTCCCAAAGCCCATGTTTGAAGGAAGTCAGTTGTCAGAAGCAGGGCAGAGGGCAAGAGACTTAGGAACGGTTAGGACTCTGAACCCCGAGCAGCTAAGAACTTCCCTTAAACTTCCAGTGCTTCCGAACAGTCTTAGAGCAGTCATGATGCCCATGGGAGACAGGCAAACTTTGGTAGAGAGAAGGCCTACACTGGGTAAGGGTCTACTCCGAGCTGACCACTCCATCTTATTCACCTGTTTCACACATCAAATCTCAAGAATTTGTTCTCTAGTCTCAGGAGGATGTTCCCAGTGTCCAGATGAAGAGCCCAAGGTTCAGAACGTTGATCTAAAAATCTGCCTCCAAAGTTTGTCCATCCCACTGTCCCTCAGGCCTCTGCTGAGATGAAAGGGAAGGGTTTGTGGCCCAGAGACAGTGGGGAGATGCCACAGAGTGACTGAGTCATTATGTTAAACTGTGTAAAATCTTGCCTCCAACCCCCCCCCCCCACCGAACACCAAACCTTACCAGGGCAACCAGGAAACATGTCCAGTCTAGAAACACTCATCGAAACTGTCAGCAGCCACTGCCCCCAGGGTACCTGCCTACCTCTGTCCCTTTAGTTCTGTGCCCCAGCTTGGCACACTCATCTGATACCTGATCACTTTGCAAACAAGGTGAGTTTGAAGCACCCTCTTTCCTTCAGGAAAAACAAGCAAGGTCCAATGTGAAGTCTTGGGAAACCGAAGCAGGAACTGGATAGAACAGGACTCGGGGAACAGGGCACATTGAAAAGCAGGGACTTGGCAGTGGGACACCATCAGAGCAGCCTGGGGGACAAGAAAACACATGAGTTTATGACAAAGGCCACAGGGGATCAAAATATCACCTCTGGGTGGACCTGAAGGTCTTCCAGCCAAGAATAAGGGCACAGAGAGGCAGCTTGGAGAAAGCAGACCTGCCACCATCTACCGCAGAGATTCCAGGAGCCTTCCAAACCCCCATCTGTCCAGACAAGTAATGAGTCCTCCATCTGGACTTGTGCTTCTATCCTTCTGGCACCTAACTATTTTTAGCCCTTTGCATCTCCGGAGGTCAGGCGATGCCACATTCCTCCATTCATCTGTTCATTTGACAAATACTAATTTCACAGATATGCTGGAGATGTATAGCTTCCTTGGGCATGACCCTGGCCCTCAAGTAGCCCACAGTTTGGCTAGGAGCTACACTCAGACAATCAAGGAGTCCTGTGGCAGGTGCCTTGACCCAGGGAGTTACAAGAGGGGAGCCTGACAGTCAAAGACCTTAGAGGGCCCACTGTACAGTCCCCCAGCCGTGCCCCACTGCCAAGCCCGAGGCAGGGGAGGAGTCAGAAATACCAACAAACAAGTCAAATGTGAAGCCTGCTATAAATACTGGCATGAGAGCAACAGGGCAAGTGGCTAATTCTGGAGCAGGGAAGACAGGTTTCCAGAGATGGTATGGTAAATGAAGCAGAGTTTTAATGGGACTGAGCTGAAACTTTCCCAGAGCCTCAGAGACCCTAACACCAGGCCCAAGGAGGTGGTTTTTCCAGCTCATCCTCTTTAAGAATTGAGACTTGGCAAAAGGGCTAAGTACAGATTCCTGTGTTCAAACTAAGAAAGATGGTTGTGCCTGCCTCCTGGAGTTGGCAGCCGTGAGTGTTGATGAAGTGACCTTGTAAAACGCCTGTGGTGGTGTTTTGCCTACAAGGGCTACCGAGAGTTTCTCAGTTGTAACCTCTCCCAGTTCCCACCTTCACTACTGGAAGGCTTCCTCTCACCAGATTTGGCCACCCCCTTCTCTAACATCTTTCCCAACCATTTCCGTTGCTATGATACAATACAAACAAATGTGGAGGATGAATGCTTTGTAACGCTAACACCTTGAGAGAGAAGGGGAGGTTCTGAGGGTTTGTTTTCTGTTTCTACAGAACATGGCCAGGCAGCACAAGATAGAGATGAGGAAGACTGGCCTAACTGTAGGCAGGCAGGGGCTGGCTAAAGTTTGGTAGGTGTCTTGGAGACAGACAGACAGATGGACAGGTTGACAGGCAGACAGCCTCATTGCCTTGGTGTGAGGTTATCCAGAGCTACAAGTCGTTTGCTATGCACAGCCCGCGTGGGTTAATTGGTGGTTATTGTGACTCTCTTTCCAGCCGAGTGTGGGAATTCAGTCACAGGCACTCAGGGTACTCTGCTGTCCCCCAACTTCCCTGTGAACTACAGTAACAATCACGAATGCATCTACTCCATCCAGACCCAGCCAGGGAAGGGGATCCAGCTTAAAGCCAAGGCATTCGAGCTGTCTGAAGGAGACGTCCTGAAGGTAATGTCAGTCAGTTCCATACAGTGTGCAAATTGTGATTCCTCACTCATCTATCCCTGTGTGAATGACACAAACTTTCCCCTTTCCTCCTGAGTCCCAAAACGGTGTTCTCACCAGGCAGAAAGTGAGGGTCAAAAGGGAAGAGTGTGCGGGTGTCCAGGAACGTGGCATTTGCTTAGGAGCTGTTGGCTCACACGCTCACATGTGAACTGACTGCATAATAGAAAGTAGTGGGGGGATGGACCAGTCAGTGAAGCATGGGCTGTGTAAGCATGAGGACCCGAGTTTCAATCCCCTGCACCTTTGTAAAAGCCCAACATGCTAGTGCACATCTATAGGCTGGTCAGACAGCCTAGCCAATCAGTGAGCTCTGGGTTCAGTGAGAGACTCTGTCTCAAAACATAAAGTGGAGGAGCTATAGAAGGAGACACCCAACACTGACCTCTGGCCTCCACATGTACACACATACAAATCCATGTGCACCTGAAACATATATTTAAATACATAGTTATGAATCTGTGTGTCTGGGGCATCTGTGCATGTGCATACACATGCTTTTATAGGCTTTGAGGATGTAGTGGCATGGCTCTGGCGATGGCTTATGAGTGGTGAGAGGTTAAAGAAAGTGAGCTCAAGCTCTCAGTCAGGGAAAGAAATGAGCAATAGAGCGAGGTATTAAGAACTGAGAGACATGCAGCTTGGATTTCTTTGTGTGTATGCTTAAGTGGCTGATGCCAGTAATGTGTAGGGTATGCATGTGTGGATAATAAACAGCTGAACTTGGAGAATGTATTGAAGAATGCTGTAATAAAATGGATTATAGGAAAAACACCACCCAGATTTAGTTGGGTTTTTTTTTTTTATCCTAAGCTGAGGCACTTTGCTAGTTTATTCTAATACAGTTTCTTCTTAGTAGCCAGAGAAGTATTGGCATGAGGAGCATTTAAACAACAAAAGGCCAGTACTCTGGAAAGCAAAAAGAGAAACCATTAAATGACTGTCCTTTAAATGTTCAGCTGGTGCACTGGACCCATCCCTAGAACATGTGTGCTCTGATCCGTGTGTGTGTGTGTGTGTGTGTGTGTGTGTGTGTGTGTGTGACTTCTCACCCTCACCCCGCATGAAATTAACGAAATAACTGAGTGGCACTGGGTATACATGAAATAAGACAGGGCAATCCCAGTGGGCATCGGAGGCCTGTTGTTGGCTTCACAGAAAAACAGTGTGGGTCTCCCGAAGACCATGCCTCGAGGCGTTGTCCTAGACCCTCGCTTCCCTCTCTCAGAACCTCATAGAATACAACCAGAACAGCAAGGCAGAGGGGTTTCCTCTCAGCCTTGGCGTAGACGGAAGGGACACGAGCTAGGCAAGGCAGAAGCCTGCTGGCTTGAGGGCCGTTAGCAGAGCAAGGCAGCTTTGAAGCCTAAGTCCTAATGCTCAAGTGTTGAAGGAAGTATGAACAGTGAAGGCCAACAGAGGTGACTGCTGAAAAGCTCATGGAACATGGCCAGTGCCCAAGCTTCCTGGCCAAGGTGGTCAGGAATAGCCATAGTTTCCCAAGTAGAATTCAGAGCTGCCCTGCAGCCTGTCAACAGCAGCACCAAACCTGCCATCTGATCTACCTCTACAGATATATATGTGTAAGGAGCCCAGAGCTTGAGAGTCACCCTCAGCAATCTCTGTGCCTTGCCTTGGCTCATCCTCCACCACTGCTGATGTGTTCCTAGCCTGTGCCTCCAGAAACACTCCCCCCTGCCCCCCGCACACCTGAGCTGACAAAGGAAATCTGACACCTCCTCCACACTGTACTTGTCTCCCAAGACTATTAATGTGTCTCATGAAGCCAAAGATTCAACGCTTCTGCGGTCTTTATTTCTGACTGAGCAAATGCCCGTCTTCCTGCTTGTGTGACTTCTGATCTGGCCCGTACCCTGAAAACTAGAAATTTCCCAAACATCTTCCCACAGATTGTTTCCCATTGCTACCCCACTCCTTTTAATGTGGTCCCTGCTGGTCAGTTCTCCTGCCACCCTGACATGAGCAAGACAAGGAAAGACCTCAAAATGTAGTGGCACAGAAAGACACTTCCAGCTCAAGACGTCAGCCGAAACACACGCGCATCACCACATCGTCCACAGTTCCCGTTTGGTTGACTAAAGACAAGTGAAGAAAGGCAGACTCAGCCCCAGAAATGAGGCAAGGATGTCTTTGATATACAACTTCAAGGATTTTTGTGTATTAAAAATATAAATCTATTTAGAGGCTGGAGAGATGGCTCAGTGGTTAAGAGCACTGGCTGCTCTCACAGAGAACCCGGGTTCGATTCCCAGCACCCACATTGTGGCTAACAACCATCCATAACTCCAGTTCTAGAAGAATTCAGCACTGTCTTGTGATCTCCGCGCTGGCACTGGACAGCACAGGTGCACTTACATACATGCAGGCAATGCAATCATACACATAAAAATAAATAAATAAAATATTTCAAAAATATAAGTCTGTTTGGCTCACAGTTCTAGAGGTTAGGAAGCCCAAGAACACTGTGCTGACTCTGATGAGGGCCTCTTTGTGCTTAACATGGCAGAGGGTGTCACATAGTGATTCCAAGTCTACAACTTAAAGGAATTTCTGCACAATGGAATACCCAAGAAAGAATAGAGACTGAGGAGGGGCCCATGAAACCAGCATTCACACAAGTGAAGTAAATCCTATCTGCAAATTAAGTGTATAAACCCCAGGGAAGAGGCTGGGGAGCTGGCCCCATGGGTAAAACGCATCTACACAAACAGGAAGACCTGAGTTCCAGCCCCAGAACCCATGTAAAAAGTCAAGCATGGCCACACAGGCTTGTAATACCAGAACTGGGGTTGAGCAGGGAGAGGAGGGTGAGTTGGAGCTAGGTGGATCCCTGCCACTTTCTGGCCAGCCAGCCTAGCCTAATCAGTGAGCTCTAGGTCCCAAAGAGACCTATTTCAAAAAGCAAGGTGGATGGCTCCTAAGGAAGGAAGCTCAAAGTTGACCCCTCTATGCACACGTGTGTCACACACACACACACACACACACACACACACACACACACACACCTGCATATGCGTACTGAAACATACACTCACATAAAAAAACAAAGGGAAAGTTCATATGAAGTAGAGGGCAGGACCATTGGTGGGGACAAGATTTCAATCCTCCCAGCAACTCTGCATGTTTGAGAGACCACAGAGAACCCAGATCCTCTCTCGGCATAATATCCTGGCCTGCATTTGGCTTTTGTTGGTACTTCCAGGAAAATAAGGGAAAGGCATGACTGGTACCTCCCAAGAGTTGTAAGATTCAGTAAAGAAGGGGCTTACATCCCACCTCCCCTGACATTGGACAGGCTTTTGTGTTCCTGGGGCTTCTTTGGGCACATCCCTTCTGCTTCCCCTTTGAGCCTAGGAGGCATTTCTATTCTCCATCCCCATGCTCCCTCCGCAATGATGTACCAACAAGGAAATTAACCAGATACGTGTGAATATTCATTGGATGAAAAGGGGACCTGTCTGAGGCTAATTGCCCCTCTGTATGCCACCAAGAACAGAAACATATTTTAAAAGCTCCTAATTGGTATTCTTCACAGGATTTGAGCGAATATTATATTTATGGCACAAAATAGGCAATAATGAAAACAGAGTGATCTCAGATGAGGAAAGATTGGATGGAGATGAAAAACATGATCACCCAATTAAAACCCGGAGCAAAGACAATGAGAGGCAGTAAACCACAGAAAAATGAAATCAGCTCATTATAGGTCCCTCTTGAGAACAGAACGTCTCCACATCTCATAAAGAAATGAAAAAGAGGCTCGCTTGCATTAATGAAATGTACAATCAATCCATAATAAAACTTTATGTGCCAAATAACATGGCACGAATAAATTAAATAACTGCTAGAAATGTAAAAACTTCTAATAAAATTATAGTCATCGTGGAAGTTTACATGGAAGATTTTTGCATACCTCTGTGAGTCTTTCACATATTGCCCAGGTTGCAAATAAATAAAGACTTGGTAACTTGAACAACATAACAGAATAAACCCAAAGAGCCTAGACCAAAGATGCTTTGTCTGTTTGATTGCTTGCTTGTTTTTGACAATTTCCATCCACAGCCCTTGAACTCTCTTCATCCTCTTGCCTCAGCCTTCCACACACTGGGATTACAGGTGTGTTTGCATCATGACTGGGAAGAAAGATGGTTTTCAAAATAAAAACAAAAACTGGGTATGGTGACTCGCTCTTCTGATTCCAACATTCGGAAGACAGAAGCAGGAGGAAGTGAGTTCAAGGACAGCCCCAGCTATGCAGTGAATTCCAGGCTAACCTGAGCTACAAAGTAAGACCCTGTTTCAATAAGTAAGTAGATAAATAGAAGATAGATAGATAGATAGATAGATAGATAGATAGATAGATGATAGATGATGGATGGATGGATGGATGGATGGATGGATGTTTGGATGGATGCAGAAATTACTGAAGTTATCAGAGGAAAAATACTAAAAAGCAAAATCAACTCTTTTTTTTTTCAGGTGTGATGGGGTGCATTCAGGGTGGTATGACTGCACACAACTATTTTTTTCTTAAGTGGCTAATAAAATTAACTTGGCAGGACTGATCAAAGAATGAAGAAGTGATGATATTTGTGTAATATTAGGAATAAAAGGAAAGACGTCACATGGATGTGGTTGAGATCATGAAAACGGGGAAATAGGAACCACTGTAAGCCACACGAGAGGAAAGCTCAAATGAAATGTGAAATTTAGAGATTGAAAAGCGCTGATGTCAAAAACAAATCTGAATAAACGAGAAACCATTTTTAAAAAAAAATTTAATTCCCGGGGCTAGAGACTTGGCTCAGAGGTTAAGAGCACTTGGTTGCTCTTGCGGAGGACCCGGGTTTGATTCCCAGCACCCACATTATAGCTAACAACTGTCTGTAACTCCAGTTCCAGGGGATCCAATGCCCTCTTCT